ACCCAGAGCTTCCCTTGGAGCGCAATCCTTCAGAGGAGCTCAGTCCTTCCAGCACTAGTTGAACATGATTCCAATAAACATATTGCTGAAATGTTTGTTTCCGGTTGTCATTTTAGACTGCAAGTAGCTAAAACAGATCCGGCTCCTATATATAGATCCTGCGTTTGATTGTGTTCTGGGAGGCTTTTATTACTACGCTCCTTGGCTGGTTCCCAGCTAAGCTTTTCTGTCAAGGGATCCGATTTTGGAATCAGAAAGTCAAAGGATAAGTGACCATACTCAGGGGTCTCAAGCTCTCTCTTTCTCCCTAATGCTGTGTTCTGCAGGTGGCTGCCAGCAGGACTGGCTCCTCCCTCTGCTCAAAGCTTCCTAATAATAATGAGAATGCTAATGGAAACTGACCAGCCCCACAGTGCAGTAAGCAATGCAGAGCACCTCTGACCTTCTGGGCTTAAAGGAAACATCTTATAATTTGGATTGAAATGAAGTACAGATGATCACAAACAGCCCAATCTTGAGAGAAGAGGACCCAAGACCCTTGTGCATAGAACAAAGAAGGGGGCCCTTAAGAGTGGGTGGGTTTCTGGATTTTACTCCTAGATTCTCCAAGGGAGGATTTGCCAGGAACAACAAGGTGAAGGAAGGGAGGTGGAGGTGGGTGTTAAGGAGGAGGTGTGGGCAGGGAGGGAGGAGGGGACAGGGCTTTCCTTACAGAGACAAGGTTGAAGCTTTGCAGTCTGATTTTTTAAAAAGTGACAATCTCCCAGAGACAGTCCCTCTATGTGTGTCCTTTGTTTTCTCTGTCCCATTTCACAGAGTCCCCCTTCACCTGCTTCTGGGATTTCTTCCYGGTTAGCCATCCTGGTCTAACTGCCTTCCTGGTCTCCAAATTTCATGTGCCTCAGCACCTCTCTCTCTTCCCCTTCCTCTCTGTCTCTCCTGCCTCTCTCTTCCCCACTTCTTGCTTTCAGTCCCTTCTCCTCCCAGCCTCTCCTCTTTTTCCTACCCTCCTGCCCTCCCTCTTCCATCCCTCCCCTCCCCCTCACCTCCCTCCCTTCCTTTTTCCCCTTTCTTTCCTCTCTCCTCCCTCCCTGCCCTTCTCTTTCCCTCGCCCCCTCTCTGTCCTTCACCCCTCTCTCCCCTTGCCCATCTCSCATCCCCTCTCCTTCCTCCTCTCTTCCCTCTTTCCCTCTCCCTCCCTCTGCCTCCCGTCCTGGTCCTTGTTTATCTGTGAGCTCCCATTTCTTGCCTTATACATTTACCTGCAGCACAAGACACGGCTCCTCTTGCAAAAACTGTTTAAGAAATCCACATCCTCTCCCTTCATTCCTTGGGCATTTCAGAAATTATATTCCTCCCCCAACTACCCCCGTCAAAATAAAATGAATGCAGCCAGCTCCTGCTGTGTGTCCTTAAATTCATTCCCTCCAGCTTTGCTGGTTTGAAAGCCTGTACCCTAGAAGGGGCCTCCTGCATTTGCTGGCAACCCTGCTCCAGTCTGATCGCCACAGATAGTGCTTTGGAGTAAAAAAAAAAAAGGGGGGAAAAACCCTCTGTTGGAGATTTCAAAACAGATTCTACCAGCTTTCAAATCCCTGCACTTGCGGAGTGGCGGGTTTGAGGAAGAGGGGATGGGGACTTGGGGTGTGGGTGTTTGTCACAAACACATAAGCAACAGAATTTATATATGTATAGATCTGGGCTTCCCTTGGCATGTTTTTGGTGTCTTTTTCCCTGGCATGGAGGGTGGGTGCTGTGTAAGTCTGACTTCTCTCATACTTCTCGGGTTTGGGGTGTGTGTGTGTGTGTGTTTGTGTGTGATGGAATTGAGGAGGGGGTGCTGTGTTTTTGATCTGATTCACTTGACAGATTATTTGAATCCAACCCACCTTTCCGCACATGTCAAACAGATGGGATCATTGTTAAAAGCCTTGAGAGCCGGGCTGAGCGGTGGGTAAAGCAGGGAGGGGGAGCCAGGAGGGGCACCGAGGGGAGGAGGGGGCACCTTCCAGTGGCTTTGTGTGTTCACACATTGGAACTGACAGGAGCCCTTCTTCTCCGTGGGTGGGGGAGTGTTTGGGGGTATGGGGTTGATGGGGGGGGATGGAAAGGGAGAGAGGTGGGGTGTTGGTGGGCAGGGTTATGATGTCACAGCCAAAGTTACAACAGGAGGAAAACACAGACATGGTTCAACATTTTTTTTTTTAACTTTGGACTGCCAAGAGCTGAAGGAGAGTGGTGAGCAAAGGAATGAAGGGGAGAGAGAGAAACTAAGCTGGAAGCTTGAGTTTTGTGTTGCCTCTTGAAACCTTATGAATGGATTACCAGCAGCTGGGAGCCAGGAGAGACCTATAGGGGATGCGAGCTGCCTTACACTCTAACAGGGGGAGAAGCAGGCGGAATCCTTCTTCCCTGATGGGTTACCCTCCTTCCTGAAATGAATGGTAGGAAACCTTTTTTCTCAGGGTCCTTGGGGTGGCATGGTGGAGGGGGAGCTGGTTTCTTTTCTTACCTGAGTATTTTCCCTCTCTCTTCTTGTTTTCCTCCTCTCTCTTTCTCTCTCTCCCCCCTTTTCTTCCCTGCTTTTCTGTCTTTATACATCCCCCCTCCCCACTCCAAAGACTCAGTCTCTATTTTGATCTGCTACGGGGGTGGGGGGGGTGGAGAAAGAAAAAAAACTGAGTCAGAAAAGTGAATGGAGCTAGAGAAGTGATAAGAGGAAAAAGGATAAGCAGACCGAAGGGTGTCTGCTTAGTAATGCCCACGTGCCTGGACTGATAGCCTCAAAGGGACTTGCTTTGAGGCTCCAGTAGATGCTTCTTGGGGAAACAAGGTGTGCTGGGGGTGGGGTGGTTAGGACACAGCCTTCTTATAGCAAATAGATGAGTTATTAGCTGGGTGGAGGAGTTTAAAAGACAATGTGGGGTCCCAAGGCTGAGGAGGCAGTGAGGTCTTCCTCTATGGTATTTGGGCTGCATGTTTTAGAATGTGGGCTACACAAGCAATGATTTTAAAAGTGTAAGTGATTTTTCTTAGGACCTGAATGAAGGACCCAGTGTACTGCTCTCTCTGTTTTGTACTACCTGTGGTCAAATGTACTTGGGTTGAAGAATGCTCTCTGTGTGTGTCCATCTGTCTGTGTGTGAAGATGTATACATGTATATAAAGAATGGGGATCCTTTGAGAAAGCTGGTGTGTGAGCATCTAGGCAAGCATGACAGAGGTTAGAATCACAGTATCTACCTCCTTGTTTTATCCATTCATTTCAAATCAGTTGAAAAAAATTGTTGCTTGAGTTTAGCTGTTCATTTTTGTAAATTACTTATTTTGGGCATCTCATTTGTTTATTTGCTCACTCAGCATATGGTGACTTTTACWAACTTCAGATTGAGGAACTTCTGAGAGGAAAAGAAGATCTATGTACTATGAAAGCATGGCATTTCCATTTAATGTTTCTCATAGCAGGATAATTGATTTCTCCTTTCTCCCAATGTTCAATATGAAGTGAATTTAAGGTATTGTTCTTTTAAATCTGAAATGATTGATTGAAATAAGAAAAAATGCAGGAGATTTGTGAGAAAACAAAAGAAAGAGATGCAAATGGTCCTAAAAGGCGAATGTGGGCTTATTAGGGAGGTCCTTTCAAAATGTGTGTGTGTGTGTGTGTGTGTGTGTGTGTGTGTGTGAGAGAGAGAGAGAGAGAGAGGGAGAGAGAGAGAGAGAGAGAGAGAGAGAGAGAGAGGGAGGGAGGGAGGGAGAAGGTACACACAGAGTGCTCCAAAACAGTATTGATTGTTTGCTATTGATTGTGTAGGCTGCGGCTGCAGAGAGAGAAAGCCCAAGATGTTTACTGGGGAAAAGGGCTGTCCCCTGTGCCTGGGCGAGGTGGGGAGGTTTTCAGGAGGAAGGAGGGGACAGGAGGAGGTGGAGTGATGCACCAAACTTACTAGCTTTGACATCATCCTTGTCTTTAAATGAAAAAACAAGAAGATAATTACAGGCAGAGAGAAAGGGAGAGAAGGGGAAAGGAGAGACCGGAGGGAACAGGTCCTTGAAGTACACACTCTTCTTTTTGCTCTTTTCCCTGTTTTCCCAGGGACCCACAAGGCTCCCAGAAGGTGAAGTCAAGGGCTCTCAGACTCATTTGGTTAAGAGAACAGCAGACTGTCAACCCAGAGAAGAACTTTACGGAGACTTACCACATACCAACAAGTTGGAAGTGGATAAAAAAATACTTTCGGCCATCAACAACTCTGAGCACCAAGTGAGGGTAGTATCCTATCCTGTGCTGGCAGACTGGCAGCTGAATGGGGACCTGGCTGAGGACATCTGCAGAGGGAAAGTTAAGTACCAGCTTGGATTTTTGTGCTCCCAGATTCTTTTTGCATTTTTAGATGATAGCCATCAAATTGTGTGTCTGTGTATAAATTTGTTTATAGCAATTCTAGCAATTTGTTTTAAGGTGAGCATTATTTTGGGTGAAGGAGTACATAAAAGAAGGCAACCCCAAGGGAAGGAAGAAGAAAAGGAAATGAAAATTGGAAAATACTGTGTTTTTGAATGACTTGGGGGCAGCCAGGGGTATGCATAGGTGAGTGTGCTATTTGAGAGACTTTGGTTTATGCTCTACTTTCTAGTATCAGTGTGGGAAGGGATTATTGAAGAAGGAGCAAAAAGAAAAAGGAAATAAACCTGAGCTCTCTGGAAGGAAAGTCCAAGGAACCAAGAGCAATTAGCTTCATTCTGCAAGGACTAAACTAGAGCTGCGTGAGGGAAGCACCTGCCGTGCAGCAGTGGGGAAGTGACTGGCAGAGCTACCAGAGCAGCAGGTCCTCAGGAGAGGCTCTCCACTGGGGCAGCTTGACAAAGTTTGGTTTGTGAGGAGAACAGTTCCCCAGTGACTGCACATTCATTGCAGGCTGACTCTTCTTTTTCTCCCCATCATCCCAGTGTGGTACCCAGAAGTTGACTTCCGGCTCTGTGGGAGAGCTGAGGGAGGGATGATGTGTTTGAAGATCCTGAGGATAAGCCTGGTGATCCTGGCTGGGTGGGCATTCGGTACTGCCAACTCCGAGCTGGGCTGGACACGCAGGAAATCCCTGGCTCAGAGGGGACACCTGAATCAGGTGCTGTTGGAAGGGGAGCACTGTTGGCTGGGGGCCAAGGCTCAGAGACCCAGAGCTGTTCCCCAGCATCACCTCTTTGGGGTGTACCCCAGCAGTCCTGGGAACTACCTGAAGTCCTACCCTGTGAGGGATCAGGGAACCTATCCTGCAGGACGTACTAAACCGGACTCCATAAGAAAGGCTGTTTTCCAAGACCTGACTGAAAACACAGTGGGAGTGGGGGGGAAGCTGAGTGAGCATCCAGTAGCCCTGTGGGTAGGGGACAGTCCTATTGGGCAATCAGAGCCTCCGGGAGATGATGACACTTATCTTGGCAAACAAGGACTCAAGGAGTCTCTAGGTGAGGCTGTAGCTCGGGGAAGCTGGACAGTGGCTGCCGCCATTCCCGCCACCTCTCCATACCTGAAGGATCCTGAAGCGGAGAGCCAGGGAAAGGGCTGGGCCAAGTCCAGGCATCCTCGCCGAGTGGTGAAGAGGCAGGCAGAGGACGTGCCTGGAGACCCTGGTATCTCTCCTCTGCATTTCCAACCTTGGCCTAAGCACCCCCTTAGGCACAGGGTTAGAAACGTGTTGAAGGACAGCATCCAAGATGGTGGAGGAAGCCCTGACTGGGAAGCAGAGACCTTTAACCCCCAAGGAGGATTGTCTATCTTGTACTTCTCGGGGAGGCGGGAGAGGCTGCTGCTGCGTCCAGAAGTGCTGGCTGAGATTCCCCGGGAGGCGTTCACAGTGGAAGCCTGGGTGAGACCAGAGGGAGGACAGAACAACCCGGCCATCATCGCAGGTAATGACCCACTCCTGGGCTTTCTGATGTTCTGGGGAGTAGCGGGCTCCATTTTTGATGGGGTTAGACCTAGGGAGCAAGGTGGGGAAGGGGTCAGAGCAGGAAAGCCAGGAATAAGGACAGGGAGCTGGCCAGGGACAGGGAGGGGCAAGCCCTTTATTTATTAGCACAGCAGGACTCTGGACACCATCAAAGAGAAGATAATGACCTCTGCCATAACAGCATTGCCCCTGGTATGGATCTCATGTAGTTCTGTGCATCCTGCTTGCCCTCAGGAGATCTTGGCTTAGCTCTCTCACCTTTTTTAAAGGGAAAGGACTTTTCATCCTTAGTCAAAGGAGAAGGGGTCTCATACTCTGTTTCTCATAGTCAGTTTGGGATACCCAGACAACTTTGAAAATAGAGGAGAGTCCAAGACCTGCACAGTGAGTCATGCCCGGGCTGGTCCAGGCTGGGAGGGAACAAGACTGTCAGGCACACAGCCATCTTGTCCTGCCTGGTTGCCTTTTCTCTGAGCAGCCCTGAACGTACACAGAAAGGCACCACCTATTCCACATCTGGGGGTCTCCTTCATTTTGTCCTGACAGCAGTATACACAGACTAGGAACAGTAAGGTCTACTGGAAAAGGTGGGCACTCATAAGCCAGGGTCTTGGCTTCTAGCCCTGGCTGTTGTAAGAGGGATCTACAAATGAAACCTGGTATAATTCTTCGATGTTAATCAGAGACACCTGCCTGGAAGTTTTACCTATATTTATTCTTCTCTATACCCAGATGTTGGCTTTTTTGGAAAGTCACTCAGAAGGGAAAAGAAGTGAGTGGAGTAAGAATAGCTGCCTCTCTGACTGGGAAGCATGATTCAAGAAAGGTGTTTAGGGTTAGGCTTTCTATTTCATCACTTGTATCTCATTATCCTTTTGGATGGATCTCCCATGACAGAACCTAACCCCAAAACAAGACACATAGTAAAACAATTTAATTTTATTAATTTGGATTATCCACAGCACCCTTTGATCTTTATCTATCCCATTACATTTATGGAGAAACTGAGGCAACAAGACATGCCAGAGGTAGGCTGGGGATGGGACTTCAGAGCCCGTGAATTGCTTGACAGTTTTACAAAACAAAAACTTCTCAGGTTGCTGGAACCCTGCAAAGAAGTTTGAGAAGAGGGAAAGAAATCTGGAAAAGGAAGGAGCCTCTTCCAATGGAGTGTTACTGGAACATCCCTTCCGGACACTCTCTCTCTCCCCCTTTGGCTGTGATTTCTCTGTTGGAAGCTGGGATTCCCAGACACTGAGCACGCTTGGGTCTTTTGGTTTTGCTTTATTTTGGGGTGGAATAGGGGGTGAGGGAAGGGGAGAGAGAAGGGGCTGGGCTGTGAGCTAGGTGGGAGCAGAGAAAGAGTAGAAGGAAACCCTTTTTCTGGGGCCAAATGGAAGAAATAATGAGATGATTATCTGATCAGAGCTGGCAGTTTCACAGTTCCTCCCAGATGACTTCTTCTTGCTGCCTGATCTTGCTTCCTAGTACCCATCTGCCAGGGAAACTGCGTGCTTGCCGTCTAGACTGAAACCCATGACTCTGCTTACCCCTCCTCTTGCAGTAGCAACATAGAGACCTGGGATCAGTTTCTGACTGTAAAGAATTAGAGAAGGATCCAACAGGAAAATATGTGGGAGGCTCTGAGGGGCTCTTATTAAAGCTCAAATCTGGGGAAACAGATTCACGATTGTGGTACCTTACTGCTATCCTGTCCCTCCTGTGTCTTGTCTCATGCTCTACACAGAGGAAAGCAGTGATTTGATTTGATTGCAGTTCTCACATTCCTTGATGCACCTCCCGCAGCCCACCCCAATATACTGCTTCCCTCCCTTGCTCATCTGTCTGTCTGTCACCATCAACAGCCCTCACACAGCCACAGTGCATGCTCCTTCTTCAAAGTGTTCATCTGACTCTCTTAACCTCCCTAAGCACGTACAATTGGGCAGGAAATCTGTTGCAGTCAGTCTAGCTTCCAAGGTTTCTTCTATTCAAATCAAAGAGGTTCCTGTGGTATACTGGGATTTCCTCAACCTTCTCCAGGAAGGTTGAGGGCAGAGAACAGTCAGGTCCAGCTCTTCTCCACCTCCCACTCTGTTCTCTTCTTCAGTCTTGTGTACATCAGGAAGTACCCCATAAGGATTTAGGGTAAAAGTTGGTAAAAGATAGGGGTTGGAAACAAGGTCACCATCCTTCAGGATTCTAGCAGATGGGCTCCTGAGGATTTAGGCATCCTGTCTACTCATACTAATTACCACGGCACTCACCTGTGGACCCTGTGATTGAGAACCATGTAGTTACCAAACAAGGACTCAGGAATTCATTGCACCAAATTACTCCCCTCTATCAACAGGAAGCCCTATTCCTTCTCACCTAGCACTGGTCCTTGAGCTGGTCACTACCTGTTCCTAGGATGGTTGGCTTCCCCTATGCAGAACAACAATACAGAATCATGTCCCTGGGAGCTACAATGACTCAATTGCTGCAGTTCTGCTTTCTTGAGGATAGTCCAAGATGCTGCAAAGACTTAGCTCCCACACTCTTTTCCAACAGCTTTAAAAAATCAGCATATACTTACTTAACCTAATCCCACTTTCCCAGTCTTCATTCTACCAAACTTGAGGTGTTTTCTCTTGGGTAGAGGTCAACCATTGCAGAGAAGACCCCACCCCCAGAGGTGGGGCCTTGAGGAATACTTTCCACTTAGGGCACTAGGTGGCAGCGTTGCCTCATTACAGGAGAGCAGGAAGCCCCCGAGGGGGGACTGTGATTTCTTGGAGGGCTGTCCTGCCCTGGCCTCAGCATGCAATTTAATCATCCTCTCCCAGGATGTTGTTGGTAGGCATCTCTGGGGTTTAGCTTCATATAGGTTTTTTTTTTTAAGCTAATATGGCATTTTTAGGGGTGGTTGACTGACTTGTATTTGTAGCAACTAGTAAAGAAAGCAAAGCCAACCAGAGTTGTCCTCTCCTTCCACCCCCAATAATCACATTCTTTCAAAATAGGAAGCTGGACTCCAGAATGAACTGCCAGAATAGTTTATTTAGGGTGGAGGATGATGTGGGGCTCACAGACTGTAGGTGCTGAGGGTTTCTCTGGCCCCCAAGCAGGTGGGGCTTCCTGCAAGGCAGGCCTTCTGCAGGTACCTATTTCCCATAGCTGATGCAGATCAACTGAGGTCTAGGGGAGGGCTGCATGCAATGGCTCCCCTGGAGGGTACCCCCCAGAAGCAGCTGGTTGAGGGCCTGCCATTTAGGGCTGTGTGCCACTAAGGGTAGTTGGAGGCCTGGGGCCCATTTGGTTGGGCCATTGGAACTGAGTAGGGGAATAAGCCAAATTCTGTCCTATTTGGGGGAACACTTGTCGCTCCAGCACCCAACCCTGAAACCATCCTGTTCCCTTCCCGCCTTCTCAACTTCCTTTCCTCTCCTTCAACCCCAACATACACAAAAGAGAAAATTTAATAGGTTCCTCCGTACCCATAATTGATTTCAAATGTTCCCTGAAGTGGCCCAGCTGAGTAACCACCTGCAGCTCCAAGATGCAGGAGACTGAGTCACTAAGTCCATGGCAGGACTGGAGCCCAGGTTTCTTCATCCAACAAATATTTATTGAGTGCCTGGCCATGTAGAGTGCAGTGAGCCACTGTGGGGAATACAAAGATGTCTAAGAAACTGTCCCTGAGGCGAGGGCAAGTTTTTCTCCTCTGAGGATCCAAGTTTTATAGCATGTCCCAGTGTGGAATTTGGAAGGGAGACAGATCTGGAATCAGGTCTTTTATTGACACTATCAGGGCTATGGTCCTTGGCAGTTCACTGAACGTTCTGAATTTTGGTTTGTTAAAATTGAAAAATGAGAAAAAACCCAACAATATATATATATATATATATATATATATATATATACATATATATATATATATAAATGTATGATTCCATCTTAATAAGAAAAAATCTTAAAAAGAAAGAGAAGAAAAACAGAAGACAAATGAGATAATGTCTTGCAGAGTTATTATGACGTTTTAATAAGTCATGTATATAAAGTGTGCAACACAGGGCCTGACCCAGGGGGCTTATTTATGACATGGCAGGTGTTAACAGTGGGTAGCTCCATTACTAAGAGCTGTGTATCAACCCATTCCTCTTTGGTTCTAACCTACTAGCCTCTCATTTTACTGTAGGTGAGATATTAGAGATATTAACTTTTTTTTTTWAAAAACAGCATGGTCTCAGGATAATTAAGGACTAGAATCAGAGGCCTAAAAGGATCCATTTATTTTATTTTTTAAAATTGTCTTTTTTTTTTTTTTTCTAGCTTGGGCAGCAGTACTATTTCAAATAAATTGGACAATGGTGCTAAAGTTTCTTTGGAACTATAAGCCCTTTGAAAAGCTGATGAAAGCTATGCTCACTCTCTAGAAAAATGTACATGTTCACATGGCTTACATAACATTTAGGGCTTTCTGGATTTCGATGGCCAGGGTCTGCTGACATTAGTCCATTGTTCAGAGCCTATTGATGGCTTTTCTGTTTTGAATGACATCTAAAAAATGAGATTTTTATCAGATGCCTTGACATCCTCTTCTCTCCCAATGAGGGAGCTTTGTATTCAGCGTAAAGAGTTTTTCAGTGGAATATGGAGCTTTGCAGAAGACAGATTCATATAGATGTAAAGAAAATAGAAAGGAGGGGGCACATGTGCTGTAGCTGTCTTTACCCAGCAGGACTCCAGATTTACATTCATACTCTTCACAGGGCTCCTCTGAAGATGAAGTTTCTATGACCCTCCTCCTTAGCTCTCTTCCCATATGCAGCAATAGTCAAAGTCAGAATGTGTGTCCTCATAGGACCCTAAAGGGATGGCCCAGTTCCTGTTGCCAGCTCCCAACCAGGACCTAGCTATGCAGTAAGGCCACAGAGCCCTATCCTTGGTGTAGAAGAGCTATACGAGCCATCCCAT